TGTGTCTACTTTGACACACAAATACAACCTGTTAGCACGAAAAAACTAAATACATAAAGTGAGAAACAATGAAAGTAAATCAAAGTTATTTTTATGTGGCACCTCAACTCATTTTACCTAATAACATGCAACTTCTCCAGGCTACTACAGCTAAACCACAAGAGCTAGAGAATTTTTATTTGTATTTTTATGCTTCCTGAAGGCTAATTCACAATGTCACAAGAAAAAAAATAATTGTTTCAGAACAATGTTTATTTTGAGCACACTGGGTGATGTCGGCTATTAACAGTTAGCAGCCAAAAGGTTAAGCTGTGACAGCTGCATTTCCTCTAGATAAGTACCAAACAGGATGTACTACGTTTCCTGTGGTGCTTTGGTTTGTCTAGGCTGGTAAATGTCACTGCAACACCAGATAAGACTTACAAGCTTCCTGATGCGATGTCAACATCCAAGCTCCTTGATGCAATCCAACATCCTGATGTGAAAGGTCCTCGAAGACCCCCCATAACAGTGACCATTTCCCCATCTGCATAGCCCATTTTTCTCTTTCCTCTCCTCTCTTTCCCTTGGTGACGGTTTGACAAGATGGAGTGGAATCTTTTTCACCCTCCATGCTATTCATCTTATCTGATCTGCCCTACCTTCTTTTTCATGACACCTTATTAGACGCTGCCCTCCACACTCTTCCTCACTATTCATCACGTGGCATAAGGAAGTTCATTCCTTGTGGAATTTGTACTGTGCTCGGGCTGTGAACTGTAAGCATGTGGCCTGGAAAAGACACCGGTGGCAAAAGACACACGAATCTTTTATTTCAGGAGTGTGTGGTGGACTGTATGTCGTCTGAGTCTGGCAGGCTCAGACGACATTCACTATAAGATGCTTCATCATTTCATTCAGCATGCTTTTCAGTATTGAGGGAAAACTCCAATCCTGAGGGAAAACTATTTAGGGAAAACTATTCAGAATTCGAGTCCTTCCTTATCAGCAGGGCCACTCCTACTCTCCCTTCCCTCTCTTTCCTTACTATATAGTAGTCCTGTGGAAACACTACATTTGTTATGATGCCAGACAATTTTGTTTCTGTGAGTTCTATTACATCTGGGTTTTCTTCCTTTGCCCTTTTGGCCAGTTCACTTGCTTTATTAGTAATTCCATCAATGTTTGAGTACATTACCTTGAAGCTCACTTCCCTATATTCATTATCACATACACTCCCCAGTGATGTAGGAAACCTTTCCATGGGCAGGGCTACTTGGGTAGGTTCATCCTCCTAGCTAGTGCATGCCACTAGCATGCATTGCGTTTCGGCAAGTCCTTAATCCTATGTTTCCTGGAATACAACCCCGCCAAATCGTTAAACAACCAGATACCCATTTTACTGTTGGGTAAACAGAGGCTACAGTTAAGGATCGATGCCCAGTAAATCCTCCCCGGCTAGGATACAAACCCATGACAAAGCACTCGCAAAATGCCAGGCGAGTGTCTTTACCAACAACTACTTAGATCTTGCCCGGGCTTGCTTGGGACAGAAAGAAGTCTAAGGGGTAGGGGGAGGGGGGGTGCTTCGGGTGAGGGCTTCCTGTGGGGTAGTTACGAGGGGTTGGGGGAGGTGGGGAGGGGGATGGAGGGCTTAGATCTTGCCTGGGCCTGCTTGAGGCAGGAAGAACACCAGGGGATTGGGGAGGGAGGGAGGATTTTGGTGGAATGGTGGACATTGTGTATGGGGAAGGGAGGGCTTGGGGTGGGGGAGGAGCTCCTGTGGGTGGCAGGTGGGGGGTGTTGCAGTACCCTCTGCGGTCCTTGAATTGCTGGTTTGTGGTTTCCCACTTCCCTCTGGAATTGTTGGGTTGGAGGCTGAGGTTCCCTGGCTCCCTTCCCTCTCCCTGCGCCTTTTCCTTGCATATTTCCTTACATATTGCAGTTTGCTCTTCTTTGCTAGAATGTCCTCTTTTGTGGCCTTGTTCCTGAATACTTCCTTTATCAATCGATTTTTGTCTTTGTTGTACTGGCCAAGTCAGAAAACCTCTATGCATTGCTCAGCCCCTTCCATTTGAATCTCTCTCAAGATCCCTGACACTGCAGCTTTGTCTTTAGCCCTCCATTATTCCTGCCTGGAACCGTCTTGTTCCTTAATACTTACCACGACTACAGCTATTTTCCTTTCCATTAGCTAACTCGTGCATCTTGCTGCCTCCTGTGAAGTTTCTGCTTTCACTGCAACTTCCTTGACTGTGGACATGGCTTCTGGCTCTTCCTCAGCATTTCAGAAAAGGTGGCACCGATTGTAGAGGTCCCTGTCATTGCTATATTCCCTGCTACCTGGGGGTTGGTTGCTTGGGTGAGAGTCTGAGGAGGGCTTCTTTTTAGGGTTTTCATCTCCTGCATTGCACTTAGTTCCATCTGTAATTTAATTATGGTTTCCCTCACGTCTTTCAATTCGCCACCAATTAACCTCCATCCCTGAGCGATCATCTCCATGTATGACTTGCGTGTGTGTGATTTTGTATGCTCTTTATCAACTGCTTTTCCGATGTCAACGTTACTTTGTCACTGTTTACCTCACAGTGCTCTCATAGCTCTGGAGTCATTTAATCCATTGCATCCTTTTGTAGCCAAAATCCAATATTGGCCCTTTCTTATCTCTAGCTGATTTACAACAGTTGAATTTGCTGGGTTCTCAGGTTCTGTTAAAATCCTATGAATTATATTGGTATTACCGTAAGTGACCATGCAAACACTGCCGCTAAGGAGGCTATCTGCACTTGTCTTATTTTCCCCCCTAAAAGCATTCCTTATTCATATTTCTACCCAGTCATTTATTTCTCGGTCTGGGACGGCCGGAAGGATCTTTGGTTAGATGTTACAGGTAACAAACTGCACTCTCTTAAGGGAAGCCTGTTCCCTTGGCTTTTCTCCTACCACCATAATCAGCAGTGGGAAACGGCTCTGGCTAGGTCGTGTATTAGCCATACACGCTTAACTTATGGGCACTTAATGGAGCGCCGCCCTGCTCCTCCTCGACCGAACTGCATTATCCCTCTTACTGTTGTGTACCACCGTGTAGAATGTCCTGACTTGCAGGTCATTTGTGTGCCTTACTTTTCTAATGTCCCTCGAAGGTATTTGTCCTTCATGAATCCGATACCTTTGATATCACTCGCCTTGTGTGCTTTTGTTCTCAAATTGGTATCATCAGTGATATCTAGCGCCCTTTGAATATTCGACGACACTGATGGGGCTACATAGTCTCCCTGGCTTGGTGCTTTTGATAATTACTTGCAAAATGAAATCACATCACCATGATGTGTCAGTGAGAAAATCGGTAGGAGCTATGAGGAGGATTCGAAGCCACACAACTGGTACTACCAACACACGCCCTACTACACCACGACATGGTCAAAAGCAATGCAACCTGGGATTCACCTGCATTCTCTAGGTGAGAGTTCCATTGAAACCCAGTGGGGGTTTCACGCATTGCTCCCCCCCCCCCCATGCACTCTGGTTGTGGCACAAGAGCTCTACCTCCAATGGTTCTCTTCAAATGCACAATGAAATCACACTAATGCGAAGTATCAGTGAGGTTGGAGGTAGAGCTGGACCACAACAGAGTGCGTGGGGGCAATGCATGAAACACCTGATTGGGTTTCAATGGAAGCCTCAGGACCCCTATAGGATTCAGGTGTATCCTGAGTTGCATTGTTTTTTGACCATGTCGTGATGCAGGACATGGGGGTACCAAGTGTGTGGGTTCGAATCATCCTCATGGCTAATGATTTTCTCATTACTATTTAATAAAGTAAAATATCCAGCTACGGGTATTTCCGCTTCCTCTGCTGACGTGTTAGTTTTATTCTATCGCGTAGACCATCTACGCCATTATAAACATGACTCATTTTTATATGGTATTTTCTTACAATCAAAGTGATGTTTCTGGTAAAGTTTGAGTTGCTAGTGATAAGGGAACAATCAGGGAAAAGCGCCAATGCCATTACGACTATATTGCACTGGGAAGGGGCCAGGATAAGGATTTGGGATGGGGTTAATTTAGTTCATTTATTATGCACCCCACGCCCATCTTGTGGGCGGTAGTGGAAAGGGTTACAGAGGCACATAATGGGCTCAGGGACTGAACCCCACAATTCATTTAGCTAAGCAAGTTACAATCTTGATGGGGGGAAGGAATGGTGCCCAACCACTTGGACGGTCGGGATTGAACGCCGACCAGCATGAAGCAAGACCGTTGCTCTACCGTCCACTCCAAGTGGTTGTTGGTAGTGATAAAGAGGCTCTGTGTTTAATCAAAGGAGGACGTATATAGATGTCATGCAGGTCTGGGGAATGGGAACAAGTATAGAGGTGTTTAGTATGGATGACGAAGGTTCATGGGCGAGAAACTCTGCAAAATTACACACACAACCTTAAACATGGAACACTGAAACGATGCTGGTATATAAGAGAAAAAAAGTATACGTTAAAGACTATCATGACTCCATTAGCAGCGACATGTAAGTAGATCATAGACAGCTGTTGTTAGGTCAATTTCAGTCTCATCTGTTCTGTATATAACATTGTTATAGGGTTGAATAATTATATTTTGTAGCATTATATGCAATACAGAGTCAAGAGGAACCATCCGTGACGTTCTGGACCATTTTCATAAACTTTTTATTTCATAATTTCCCCCGAAATTAAAAAAATCTTCTCGAAAGGGCACCAGCAACCTTTGACCTCAAAAAGTTATATATATTTTATCCTCTTAATAACTCGATGACATTGAGCTCCATAGTTCATGATTTGATCTTATACAGTTAGCGCTGTAAAGTCGCGCTCAGGTTGTCCACAGTTGACGCCCGACGCTAAAGCAACCAAAAAGGCCCATCTTTCCATAGGTTTTGTCATATAAAAAAAAAAGATCTCTTTGTAATGCCCTAATGTGATCATTGCAGCCAGACCTATTATCGAGCTGGCAAACTATAACAAACTAAGTATATAGTTACCTTCAGATTTATATAGGTGATTGTATAATGTCTCAGTGATGACAGACGACGCCTCGAGCCATCATGCTTCTTATAGGAACAGAACAAAGATAAACTGCTTGACGATTCGCTTATTTAAGAGATCATCGATAGAGGGAGAAGTAACAGTCGGAGGTGAGGACGGTGGAGGCGCTCTGGTCCCATGGTGGTACGGAAATGAAGAGAGAGCTGGAAGCGATAGTGTGCGGGGCGGCGGACTGAGAGGTTGGTGCATCAAGCACCCTCTCACACTTGATTGCTCTGGTCTTTATCCTCGCTTGATGCTGTTATTGGTGGTGTAATTTATCTCTCTTTACGTCTGGCAAGTTACCTATGTTACCTTCATGTACAAGCTGTATACAGCGCGGTTATATTAAAGGCGTATATATATGATACATTAATATCGACGGTGGCATTTAAATATCTCTTATAGTACGTTGCCATAATTATATATACGGTGGGTAACTTTTTTATAATCATCATAATATTATAAATATTTAATAAATTATTATTAATGTTTAATTTATTCAAACAGTTTAATATCGATTTGTTGTTGTTTGGGCAAAGAGTTTGTTACTATTGTGTCAGAGTATATTGTTAAATACTTTCTGGAGAGTTGCTACATACCTCAAAGGTTTTGATTGTCGCCATCAGCGCTTAGTTTATTGTGCACCCCATACTGGTCCTGTGAGCGGTAGTTTATTGTGCACCCCATATTGGTCCTGTGAGCGGTAGTTTATTGTGCACCCCATACTGGTCCTGTGAGCGGCAGTTTATTGTGCACCCCATACTGGTCCTGTGAGCGGTAGTTTATTGTGCACCCCATACTGGTCCTGTGAGCGGTAGTTTATTGTGCACCCCATACTGGTCCTGTGAGCGGTAGTTTATTGTGCACCCCATACTGGCCCTGTGAGCGGTAGTTTATTGTGCACCCCATACTGGTCCTGTGAGCGGTAGTTTATTGTGCACCCCATACTGGTCCTGTGAGCGGTAGTTTATTGTGCACCCCATACTGGTCCTGTGAGCGGTAGTTTATTATGCACCCCATACTGGTCCTGTGAGCGGTAGTTTATTGTGCACCCCATGCTGGTCCTGTGAGCGGTAGTTTATTGTGCACCCCATACTGGTCCTGTGAGCGGTAGTTTATTGTGCATCCCATACTGGTCCTGTGAGCGGTAGTTTATTGTGCACCCCATACTCATCCTGTGAACGTTAGTTTATTGTGCACCCCATACTCATCCTGTGAGCTTTAGAGTAAAACATTAAGAGGGATTACTAGCGACCTTAGAAGGTTCATGTGTGTACCGACGCCATGAACGGTCGTCAACAAGATAATATTAATTACCAGGAGAAAACGCTAAGCCATATTACGATTATCTAGCACTTGGAAGGGAGGAGGATTTGTGATAAGATGGAGGGAAGGAATGGTGCCCAGTCACCTGGACGGGTGCAGGGGATTGGCCTGCAAAAAACAATACTGTCGTTCTTCTGTATAGTCTAAGTGGTTCGGTTGTGTTTAATTTGTTGCCAATATTTGAATTTGGCGAAGTTGTCTAATGGATGTTGACCAGACCACACACTAGAAGGTGTGGTCTTGTAGACAAGTAGTGTAGACACACCACTTGTCTAATGGATCGTGGTGTGGTCAAATTTTGTAAAATCGTACACTAACGATTTAACGAAAATTACTGGCTCACCTTAGCCCGTGCTGCACGGTGGTGCCTAAGCTGCTCTATCCCTTTGAGATGTATTTTTTTCTTGTCTCAATAAACATACTTGAACTTTATTGAACTTGTCGCTCCAGAGTGGCAGAAGCTACAACAACAGATTCAACAAATCTCGTTTTCTGTTAAAATAGTATATATTCTTAGGTTAGGCTCGGTTAGGTATTAAAACCGGTGGCGAACCGTCCTGTATACTAAGTATCCGATGGACCAGCCCGGGCTCTGTATATTACCCATTCCATTATATGCCGGATTATTGGGATTTAATTTAATGGGATTTAGATGGTAGGGATGCTCTATAGATCGGTCAAATTATATGAAATACACTAACTCTCAAAATAATTTATATGAGAAGTTGCAAACATTACTCATAATGTGTGCCTTTTCCTGTTGGTCGTCAGTATTAGCGGATTGTTCTTGGTAGATTATGAGTCAGGGTGTACACTAGGAGGGCGAGCCAGAACGTCATGGAGCCCAGCATATATTAAGTGTTTCTTCCGAAGGTGTCGGTCTGGTCTCTATTATGTGGCCACAACTACTGTTTCAATGCAGTATTGTCAGACCTATTATTTCCCCTTTGAGGTTTTGTTGTGGGAGTGATGGGAGGTTCTCTATTTGATATCGTAGGCAGCCCTCGCATGTGTCGGCAGGAAGCATCGTAGCAAGTTTCTCTCCATGCTTGGAGAGACGCGTCATCTTAATATAACCAGAAGCTTGTGCTTCTGGCTATATTAAGTACGATAATTGCTCCATCGCCATTAAACTTTTCGATGTAGCCAAGCTTTTTTCGAGGAGAAAATATATATATGAGGTCTGATACTCCAGTAAAATTCTATGGTGATGTATTAGTTTTATGAGAAAGTGTTCCATAAGTGATCCTGTTGATCTCTCCAAGCTTACTGCGGCCCTCAGAGTTCTCATCGTGTCCACTTCAACCCGTCCTCCAAAAATGATAGTACGTATAGTAACTTAGTTGGTGCAAAGGACCAATATGTAGTGATGATCCTCCAATAATTTATGATTAGTACTTTTTCGGATTACAAAATTCAAAGCTAAAAACCAAACTTAAGCATTCCTAAGCCTAGTATAGCGCATATGTGTACTTTATTAGGCCTAAGGTAGCATGTATCTAGGATGGGTTAAGTTCTATATTTATGTTGCAATTAAAAAGTTGCCGATTTGTCCAAATTGAATAATACAAAAGTGAACTTTCTGGTTCATCCATCACTACATATTGGTACTTTTGACCAAACGGCTGTTAAAAGTACTTTCACATCAGGAGGCTTGGCTGTCTAAAGTATACATTTCATAGCTGGTATTAAATTATATTTGTTGCAGTAAAGATAAGTCAGAAAATAACATTTATTTTAAATATGTATAAAAAATGGTAACAGGGGCAAAGAAAATTGAAAGGAGACTTAAAATTAACTCTAAGGATGTGCAGGAAATGAACTACAGACATGGTGTGTGAAACCTGATAATATTTGGTTGAGTATTTCTCCATTTGTATCTTGGTCATTGAGTTTAGCCACAGTATAATGTTTGTGTTCTACATCACTTGTTATGATTTATTAATTAAAAAATAATGTTTTCTGTTGAAAATGTTAAAATATTAACAAAAATGGTAAAAATGCATATCACTTAAAAATATTGCGTGTATACATGCGTTGGTTATGTCTTGATAGATTCATTAAATTATTTTACATAATAAATGAGTAACTGAGTATTGACAGTAATACAATTAGGACACACATACGTGTAGATACGCCAATATAGGCCTACAACACTATGGTATGGCAGCTATTGTAGGCCTACAACACTATGGTATGGCAGCTATTGTAGGCCTACAATACTGGTATGGCAACCACTGCAAGCCTACCACACTGGTATGGCAATGACTATAGACCTATAATTGAAATAGGGAACCACTGTAGACCTATAACTGTGGTATGGCAACCACCAGGCCTATAACTATGGTATGGCACACTCCCACACAATATTAACTCCGTATTTGACTAATTTTACCAACCTAAAACTCGCCACCATTGTTTCATTTTTACTCTGAATCTCATAAGTTTTCTGCAAAATATAATTTAGAAATAACATTACTCCCTTTTTTTTTTTAATACAAAATTCTCTCACACGTTCTTGCCCTACTCTTGACATATAGTCCCCCCTATTGTACATGGCTCCCTCTTCCACAATTGCCGTTCAGCGTTGCCTGTTCCATCGCCCACTTCGTCTCCTGTTCCAGACTAACCACTCCTAGAGTCTCCTGTCCCTCTCTGTGCACTACTTGTCTCCTGTATTGTTATGTGCTCTTGTCCAAATTTGTACATTTACAGTTTGTTTTCTCACGCGGCACTACTAATAATCTATTCATTCTTCACACTCTCAAACTAGAACCTGAAGAGCTTCCTTCAGTAAGAGAGAAGCCGTTTAAAAGTTACAGTAGATGAGGTAAAGAGCTCTAGAGAATCTAGAAGTACCAGAATGAAAGGCTGAGGCGGAACTAGACGTTGCTACCCTGGAAATTAAAAAAGAAGGCAACAGATTCTTTGAGGCACTACAAGACGAGGAAAGGACATGGGCGACACTAGAAATTCAGATAAGCTGCTGGGATATAAGAAAACCCTAATTCAGTGGGATGAGCTAATAATAGTAGTTATAGGTCTCACGTGCACGCAATAATGGCGTGCAAGTTTATCCACGGAAATGATGAAGTAGACAGATAAGCGACGCACAGAATAAAGGACATTCTGGAAACTAAGACTGCAGATAACCTGAAAAGGGTCTACGACGGTCCGAAACCTTTTAACTTTTCGTTACAATGGTGTGGGTTGGGTTACTACCCAGAGATGTTTCCCCACTTGTTCCGGTGACGGGAGGAAGGCCACAGGGAAACGGTTAGCTCCTAACCTGTTGAAAAATTGCTAATGTGGTGCCAACAGTAAAGGGTCAATCATCCTCCTGCAAGTTACTAGAGACCGACCCAAAACAGTCTTAAGAGTACTTCGAACAGCTAAATTCTGCTTTCCAACACTAGTTCATATTTAGCAAAGTAGTTCACATTTACAAGAGGAAAGGCAACCGGCAGCCATGCGATAATCACCAGGAAAATTAACTCATCATTGTCCATTGTCCAAGTGTCCATTGCTTGCAAGATCCTGGCTCATATTCTGCTCAGCCGTCTCCTTCAACACCTTGAGCAGGGCCTCCTAGCAGAAAGCCAATGCGGCTTCTGAGGAGAACCCGGAACTGTCGATATGATATCTGCTGCACGCCAGCTTCAAGAAAAATGCCAAGAACAACATAGAGATCTCTTCGTGACCTTCGACGACCTGACCAAGGACTTCGATACGGTCAGCAGAGATGACTTGTGGAAGATAATGGAGAAGTTTGGCAGTCCCGGCAAATTCACTGTCATTGTACGGCAGTTCCACGAAGGCATGATGACAAAAGTATTGGACAATG